ACCCTTAGTTGAGGTTTGCTGCAAGTCCATTGATGTTGTTTTGCTAATTTCAGCGCTAGGGGGCGTTCCTATCCCACTCTATCCCAAATCCTCAGTGTGGTGTTCAGAATGAACTGAGAAGTGTCTAAAAAGCGGTAGTCTCTCCCTATAAGCTTTTTCTTGGGGCTGGGACAGGCCCAGATGCCCACAGCACACAAGCTCCTTGGGATTCTGTTTGTCTCTGGACTATCCCACGGAGGGAGCAGCCCAGATTTCTATACAATGACTTGGCACTACTCTTTTTTCCCCTCCAAGTAGACAGTTAATCTCCATGCTGTGCTTCCCAGAGGTGGGGTAGGCAGTCCTGAGGCCACCAGCGCTGTGATGCGAGGTCACACCCAGATGCCACAGCTCCAGAGACCAACACTACACAGGGTTAGGCCCATGGCCGATGCTGCATTGGACTGTCTTTTGCTGAAGTGGGCTCAGCCCATACTGCTGCAACCAGTGATGCTGGCTGGAACAGCCTCCGTCTGGCCAGAGTCACGGGAGTCCACGTGGCACTAGTCCTGGTCCGGAGACTCCAGCCACAGACGCTGGCCTGGGGACAGAGACTATTAGGATCTGCCCAGCAGTAGGTTTTGCCAGCCTGGCACTGAGCTCCAAGACACAGCTCTGTGCTTGCTGCTGTACCTTACACTCCTATGGTTGGAGCCCTCCCCTTGCTGTCTGCCTCAGATTCGGGGAGAGATGACAACCCTTGGTCGCCGGGGCATTCACTCAGCTGAGTCATGCCTGGGTTGTCACAGCCACCAGGACCTGCACCATCTGTGGGGTATGTTCTGATCTCACACATGATTGGCAGTGATGTAGGGTAAGACACAGGTTGGTCCTAATGGGGTGCAGGTTTCCTCCAGAGTAGCTCTGTGTGCCCCGTCAGCAAGCACTGTGTTGGGCACAAGGTCTCACTGTGGCAGGCAAAGCCCTGAGACACAGTCCTAAGCTCACGCCTGCCCTACTCCCTCGTGGCTGAAGTCCTGTCCAGCTGCCACAGGTTGAGGGAAGGATGATGGAGGCAGTCCTTGGCTACCTGGCTAAAGGAAGGTTGGAAGGCTCCGTGTGCAGGGACTGGCCTGGGAGTAGGGGCTGTGGGACCCTGTCCAGAACACCTGTTCAGGTTTTACCACAGCAGATCCGGTGTGTGGTTTCAATTTTAACGTCTGGACTTAACTCCCTCTCCCTCCCTCCAGTGGGAGGGGTTTGTCTCCATGCTGGGCTGCTTGGAGTTGGGCGAGGGGTGGTGCAGGCAACTCTTTGCTGCCTGCCTTCTTCAGTGCGTCTTCTCTTGTTGTTATTGGATTAAAACCAGTCACTGCAGGCTCTCCCTTGGCTCCCTGAGCCCCTTTGAAGCCGGCTGGTGCATGACTAGCCGTTTGAATTGACATCTCTATGAGCAGACAGGTTACCCGAACATCTTACTCAGCTGCCGCCTTGCTCAGCCACGCCCCCACGCATGCATTTATATTGTTAGTCTGTGTTTCAATTCCCCTTCCTCAAACCTTTTGGCATCTTCAATTAGATGTTCAGAAAGAAAAGAAATGCATTGTATTTAGAGTTTATCCAAAGCTCGCTCTCTTTTTTTGTTTAAAGATGTTTTCATCGCTCAGTGCTCCTTAATTACCCACATATTAGATTCTTACAGAACGCACAAGGATCCCTACACCTAAAGTAGTTTCTTCCTGTGTCTCTCTTGTGTCTCTGCAATGCACGTTTTGGTGCCCATGTTGTTAGGATGTGTACATGTCAGAGGGATTCAGGAGCAGCGTTGTGTCCATGCTGAGCAGTGTGTTTTAAGAGCGAGAGGAGGCGGCTGTCCACAATGGGGAAGGGCCCAGAATCTATGCCTAGTGATGAATGCCTGAAGCGACTGGTGACGTTGAACGTAGGGGAGAAGAAGGCGTGAGGAATGCCTTGACTACTTGCCGATGCATCATCGGAGAGTCGTTTACCTATGTCGTTCCGGGTCTGCAGTAATCGCCAAGGCGTGGGCATAACAAGGAAGCTAATTCTGACCCCACCGAGTAGATGTTATAAAAATACATTGTAATAATCATAACATCAATTAAAAGTTGTATCATCTTTGTATATACTATATAAATTTCAAAAATTAAATAGAGGGGCCGGCATTGTGGCATAGTAAGTAAAGCTGCCGCCTGCAATGCCAGCATCCCATATGGGCACCGGTTCAAGTCCCGGCTACTCCGCTTCCCATCTAGCTCTCTGCTGGGGCCTGGGAAAGCAGTGGAAGATAGCCCAAGTCCTTGGGCCCCTGTACCCACATGGGAGACCTGGAAGAAGCTCCTGGCTCCTGGCTTCGGATTGGCCCAGCTCTGGCTGTTGCAGCCATTTAGGGAGTGAACCAGCAGATGGAAGACTCTCCCTCTCTACCTGCACCTCTGCCTCTCTGTAACTCTACCTTTCAAATAAATAAATAAATATTTTTAAAAATTAAATGAAATATTTTCTTTTTCTAGACATCTTCCTACTTTTCTGATGAAAGAAAAGATATGGTTCATGTGCTGTGGGATTTTGAATTTTGCATATTCAAGAAATTGAATCTATAGTTGCCATGTAATTCTGTCCAAAATTCATTTGTTGGGTTATTAAACCATTATTTGTGCTGTTTGGTGTCTATCTGGGTTATGAGTGTCAAAAGTTCAGTACAACAGGCCGGCGCTGCAGCTCACTAGGCTAATCCTCCGCCTTGCGGCACCGGGACACTGGGTTCTAGTCCCGGTCGGGGCGCTGGATTCTGTCCTGGTTGCCCCTCTTCCAGGCCAGCTCTCTGCTGTGGCCAGGGAGTGCAGTGGAGAATGGCCCAAGTACTTGGGCCCTGCACACCATGGGAAACCAGGAGAAGTACCTGGCTCCTGCCATTGGATCAGCGCGGTGCGCCGGCCGCAGCACGCTGGCTGCGGCAGCCATTGGAGGGTGAACCAACGGCAAAAAGGAAGACCTTTCTCTCTGTCTCTCTCACTGTCCACTCTGCCTGTCAAAAAAAAAAAAAAGTTCAGTACAACATACCCCTTTCAGAATTGAGGTTAAAGTCCAGGTGCCACAGTAGAGCAGAGGTGATCCGTTCCTAGGAGATGGTTCAGAATGTGCAGAGAAGATGTGTATGCGAAGAAGCCAGGCAGGACTCTAAACATATTTTTGCACCAACATGCACTTAGCTTTTAAATCCATTTTCCCAGGAATTTTGTCTTGAGCTTCCCCCAGAGCCTTCTCTCAGGCTATGAAAACTCCAAGGCAGAGCAACCTACTGGGGCGCAGAGCCTGGGTCTCACGCCGGAGCCCTCTGTACCACTTGCCACGGTTTCATTTCTCTGCTACTTGACTCAGCTGCAGGCTTGGCTGAGATTTCTGAAGAAGGCTCAGACGGTCCTCAGGGCCTTTGCTTAGCCTGTCAGACACAAGGGGCTCCGGTCGTCCCATCAGCTCACATTCACAGCTATGCTGTGGTTCTGCTAAAACTTAGTAGGCAATGGCTTCCTAGTTGTGGGTATTAGACTTTGCATGACTAAGCTTGCTGAGTTTTATAAGGTATCCATACCTTTTAGACAATAATGGCCTTGGTTTTGCCTACTGAGCACCGTGTTAAATCCTTAACATATTTTAACTGTTTAATTCTCCCAGCTGTAAAGTAGATGCTCTTATGAACCCCATTCTACACAGGAAGAAACTACAGAGATATGTGAGCTGAAAGAAGATTATGCAGCTACTTAGCATTAGTCAGGAGTAAAGTCCAGCTCTCTCTTTTAAAACATTTTTATTTATTTATCTATTTGAAAAGCACAGTGATAGAGAGGAAGAGACAGAGAAGAGATCTTGCCATCTGCTAATTCCTTCCCCAGATGGCCACAACGGCCCCGGGCTTGGGCCAGGCCTAAGCCAGGAACCTGGAGCTCCCTCCAGGTCTCCCAACATGGGTGAAAGGGGCCCAAGTAGTTGGGCCTTCTGCTGCTGCTTTCCCAGGTGCATGAGCAGGAGGCTGGATTGAACCATTGTTACTAGCTGAGCCTAACACTCCATGCCACGATGCCAGCTCCAAACCCAGCTCTCAAATCCACCTGACTTCCCATTATCTTCACTTGACAGCAGGAGCCAGAGATTTGTCCAGAGTCACAGGGATCTGGGGTTGGGGAGTGAGTCACACCCTATTACGTCCTATGTCATATTGTTTTACAGCGTAAACCCTCTTTGAATGGCTCCATCTGCTTTCCTGAGCTCTTAATCTAACATTTGTCTTACAATCGAAGATAGTTCATATACTTAGAGAGCCAGGTAGTGTTAACAAACAGTGCAAACAGGCATTTGAAATTTTCCTGTGGCAAAACAGCTTGACAAAATGACTGCATTTTCGTTTAATAGCTGTTTGATTTTTATGGCAATGCTGAATGGTAAGCCAACATATTTTTACATTTTTTTCTAATGGTGTTTTTTTTCATAATGTGAAATCTGTGGGATTCTCTGGTGTAGACTTTGGATGTTCCATCTACCTATAATGTTTGTTATATTGTGTTATCCAAATGAAAAAAAAAAAACTTTGTTAAGTCCCAGAGATTACCCAGCGATTCAAGCCTTATCATTAAAGCAGGTGGACCAGACTGTCCCTGACAACACACTGAAGCTCATACTCTGCCTATTTTCCTCTTCCTTTATTTTGTCCAGCTTAACAATAACTCTGCCGGAAGACCGAAATTCAAATCACCTCTTTGACACTGGAATGATACCAGTTTTTCCTTCATAGAAATTAAACAAAGTACCATCTGAATAGGGATTTTTCTGGGAATCAGTTGGGCATTTGGGGAAAAAAAAATGGCTACTAAGTCCTTAAGGCTTTGTTTTCGAGATCCGTCTCCCTGTGCTGAAGCATTTAGTGTTGTGTGTTTTTGAAGCAGAGAGTCCATGGAATGAAATGCAGAGTTGACTCATCTCGTTCTCTCTCTTCTCTCCTCCAGCTCTTTCTCTTTGTTGTCTGGAACTTTGAGCTCTACATGATACCGCTGGTCTTGTTGCTGCTGTTAACATGGAACTACTTCTTGATAGTATCAGGGAAAGAGAACCGGCAGCGTGATACGGTAAGTCTCTACTTTCTTACTCGTATGTCCTCGCGTTCTTACTCCTGGTCCCTCAGACAAGATCAGCATTGAGTTTGTTTTTACAAACCAGAGATGCTAACCATACTCAAGTTTTATCAGATCAAAACTCACGACTCTTGGGGCCTAACCCAGAAGAAAACATTGACCTATTTCGAACATTGCTCAGCTTGGTATAAAAGAAAATTCGGAGCACACTACAGAATGAACTATGGTTTGTGTTCGTGGACGGGGGTTACTCCAAATGATTACTCCCTTTGTTTCTTTATTGTCTTTATGTCTCAATGAACCCTGCATGAAGACTTAGTTGCAGAACAATTGTTAGTAATACATACGTACACATCATACGTACACACTAATGTATTTCACTTCAGATAGTTTTTACGTTCAGATAGTCATTGGAAGGGAGGCGAGACGCATGATTATTGGCCTACAAAGTATATAAAGTGCTTTAATTTGGTGTACAGCCACCAACCAGTTAGCAGTGTATGGAGATAACAGCTCAGGAGCGAAGAGCTTGTACTGACGGAGGGAAAGTGGTCCTGCGTGCACCTGCCCTCTCTGGCATGTTCAAAGGCTTTAGGCTGCAAAGCAGAAGCTGGCACGCTGCCAGGGGCTTCCACGTGCTCCTGGGTGACTCACGCTCCTGTTGATGTCCATTTTTGCGTGAACTGTCTGACGCCTCCTTATGCGGCCGCATTCGGTGTTCTGGGATTCTGTGTTCCCATGGATTATCTGTCACTGCACCCCTAACAAACATACTGTAAAAAGCTTTTCTGCATTTAAATATAAGGGTATTTCAGAAAGTTTATGGAGAAATGAAATGAAAAGACACGTTTATTTGCGTGCAAAACATTTTGAAATCCATGCGTAGTCTTCTCACACGTTTTCTACGAACCTTTTGAAGATCCCTCATATGCATGCGTTTCAAACAGTTTTGCACCCAAATAAGCTCACTTTTTAATTTCATTTTTCTCTCAGCTTTTTAAAGTACCTTTGTAAATGGAGTTGGGGGGGAGTGTGTTCTCCAGATATGACATTTGCCATCTGATAACTTGTTAGATAGCTGTTGAGAGGAATTGAAAAGTGTGTCAGACATGAGAATGTACTTCATAGCTGTCTTTCCTCTTCAGATTACATAGTTTTTTTTTTTTAATTCTCCATTTGATTTATAATCAGTGACTTTGGGCAACTACTGTGCCCACAGTAATGTAGTTATTTGGTCATCTGTTTGGAAATAGGAAAATATTTTACTGTAATAATAAGCATTGTAACAATCTGACAGATATACCTGTCACATTCAAGAACTCCCCCTTTAAAACAACACCAGCAAAATACACTTCCAATGGTAACATTAGCAAGATATACCTCTTCAAAATAATTTCCTCCATCATCAAAACTCTTGAGGTACTCCCACCAAGTACATGGCCAACTTGCCAATAACACACAATGTTCAGTTTGCGAATATATTTCTGTCTCTCCCACTACATTGTGAATTGGAGGGAAGGGACTCTGTTCATCGTCAAATTTGCCACTGTGTCTAGCACATTCTTTGCAAATTAGAGGTGTGCATTTTTCTGTAAAGTTTATGAAACCAAACCTGAGATTGCTAATAGAGATCTTAATGGTTAGGCAGCATCAATAGAAAACAAGTTATTATTATTGGCAAGGATTTTATGGACATATATTTAAATTGCATGCTGACAGACAAGCCCCAGTGCTATAAGCATCAGCGTCGTGGGGACTAATAGGTACTTTTGTCAATTAATCCTGGATGTTTTCTCTAAGAAAATAGAACTCTCTCAGACAGTTGCTTTCTTGTTCCATTTATTTCAGAGAGATTGTCAAGAGAGGAGAATATCTACATTTCACTCAGTTGTCTTGAGACAGATTTGCAAAATAAGATTATTTGCAAATAAGAAAAAGTAGCAATTTAGTTTTAGCTCCTTAATCCTATGAGGGGTCTTATCTTCAATACTTAGAGATTGGTGTGAGCATTCGTAGGGAAGAATCCCTAGTATCTTCTTCAGACTCTCCCCACCTTGACTGGAAAGAACAACTGTTAGAGTAGGGAGATAAGAATATAAAAGATACCCTTAAAATTAAGTCTGTGTAGCATTAAAGCAAAATCCTCTATAGTAGTGTGTAATCTTTCCATTGCCCTTCCTTTTTTTCCGGATTTTAACTCCAAAATAGCACGTTCACCGAATCCTTTCCTGTCCCTCCCATCTGTAGCAGCCTACACACTTTCCCTTTCAGCCGTGGACAACATTGCGTTCCCCAGCACAGCCCACTGTGAGACATTCTATAGTCTAACTCTCACAGAATGCCAAGCACACTCCATAACTCCCAGTAATTGCCTTTTATTTGCCCAAAACACACATATCCACATATTCTGTTCTTCCCAGGCACCAGAGCAGCAATCAGCGTTTCATTCAGCCCCTTCTCCACTGGCTCAGTGGAGACCTTACGTAACTCTTAGATCCAATTTGTCTAATTATGTGTTTTCCGGCATATCCAGCTGTGCATTTGAACTGGTCGCTGTTTTTCAAAAGAAACCTGGATTACACTTGGCTGGTTACAGATTCCGTATATGCACACACACACACACACACACACGGACATAGGAGGGGACTTCAAAAAGTTTGTGGACAAATAGAATTCACAGATAAGTTGATTTTGGTGCAAGAAACTTGAATCCCATGTGTGGTTTTTTTCTTAATACACGTTTTTCTGTGAAGTTTTCAAGGTGCCTTTAAACACACAAAGACATGCAATGCAAAGTTGGGAGAAATGTTTGTAGGGTTGCCACACCGGGCGTGTGTGAGACTTGCATGGTGTCTAGTGCTGGAAGAATGGTGTTTTGCACTAACTCCCAATTCATATCACAGAAACAGTGCAGAATCTTTGAGCATGTGTGAAAACTTCCCAGGATCTCTGAGTTTGCAAACCAGGAAACTTTCTGTTTTAGGAAAGAGAGAGACAGAAAGAGAATTTTCTGCCTTGAAAAAGCAAAAACAAACAAACAAAAATCTGTACATTCAGCTGAGCAAATTTAATTAGGATAAAAACTATAAGAAAAAAATAAATTAAAATGGCCTTCAGCTGTGGGCAGCAAGAAGAGAAAAGGACATTATATTTCCATGACATAAGAAGTGGAAAGAGGAAAGAAAATAAACACTGTGCAAGAGGAAAAGTGTGTGGATGGGTACAACCCCATCTCCAGTGTACTGGCTGACAGCTGAGACAGACGCAGTGTGTTTTTTTTTTAAGATTTATTTTATTTTTTTGAAAGAGTTACAGAGAGAGGTAGAGACAGAGAGAGAAGCCTTCCATCCGCTGGTTCACTTCCCCAGATGGCCGCAACAGCCGGAGCTGCGCCAATCCGAAGCCAGGAGCCAGGAGCTTCCTCTGGGTCTCCCTCATGGGTGCAGGGACTTGGGCATCTTCCACTGCTCTCCCAGGCCATAGCAGAGAGCTGGATGGGAAGAGGAGCAGCTGGGACTAGAACCGGTGCCCCAGGCCAGGGCTTTACCCTGCTGCGCCACAGCGCTGGCCCCAGTGTTTATTTCTTAGGGGGACCCTTTCCTTTCTTGGAGGTCCTTCAGACCACTGAACCTCCCTGCCTTGTCCCCACCACGGGGCCTCTTCTTGCTTTAATGAGAAAATAGGGTGTGATCCTTGCTGAATATCTTCTTGCTGCATTTGCTGAGCTGAACTCTTAAGGACCGGAGAAGTACACACTCATTCCAGAGCCTAAGGCTGCAGCCGCAGGGCGTACACGGGGAAGAGGCGTGGTCCACAATGACATCTTACCTACCCTGTTTCCCAGTCAGACTTATTAAGACAAACAATACTGGCTCTGAATCTGCTTAGACTAGAACCATGCCATTAAAATGTGGAGCCTGAGAACTGTTAGGTTTTTGCAGAGAAAGTGATCTCACACGTGCTTCATCCCGAAGCAGCCGTGGCAGGAGAGGTATATGGAGGTAGAAGCGTCACCCTTCTCTTGGATTGAGCCGTCACTCCAAAACCTGGAGGAATTCTCCCGGGACTGACCACTGGGCTTCTACCCACTTGCCAGGAACAGGAACTGTTCCTGTGGGCAGAAACTTTGTGAGTTGGAGCAGATGCCAGGAAATGGCCCTGGCTTTGAGTCTGAAAACTGTTGAACTTTGTTTTACCCCCCGGGTGCTGTGTGAATGATGTGCTTTATATTCCTCACGTCATGGATTCCTTTCCCAGGAGAGAGAAGATGAGCGTAAAAGCCTGACTCAGGGGCCGGTGCTGTGCCACAGCAGGCTAAAGTCCCGGCCTGCAGTGGCGGCGTCCCATGTGGGCGCTGGTTCAAGTCTTGGCTGTTCCATTTCCAATCCAGCTCTCTCCTATGGCCTGGGAAAGCAGTAGAGGATGGCTCAAGTCCTTGGGCTCTCCCTTTATCTGTCTGTAACTCTAACTCTCAAGTAAATAAATAAAATCTTTAAAAAAAAGTGGCAGAGTGATTTAACCTCTCTGTCTCTGTTTCCTTGTATACCATGTAGAAATAATGATACAAGATGCAAGACCATTCCCTTCGTTCTCTGAGATGACTTCCCTTTCTCACAGAATAGCTCTTGTTCCCTGGCTCACCACAGATGGAGAGGCTGGGTGAGTCATCTGACCTAAGAGGCCATAGCCCATGAGCCAGGCTTTTTTTTTTTTTTAATTATTTTATTTATTTGAAAGACAGAGTTACAGAGAGGTGGAGAGAGAGAGAGAGAGAGAGAGAGAGAGAGAGAGAGATCTTCTATTCTGCAGGTTCACTCCCTAAATGATCGCAACAGCTGGAACTGGGATGGTCTGAAGCCTGGAGCCAGGAGCTTCTTCTGGGTCTCCCATTTGGGAGTGCAGGCACCTAAGCACTTGGGTTATGTTCTACTGCTTTCCCAGGCCATAACAGAGAGCTGGATGGGAAAAGAAGCAGCTGGGACTCGAACCAGCAC